GTACCATGTAATTTCTGCTTATTCTGTTTGCTTTAAAAACTGTCTGAAGGCAATTGTGTGTCCCCAACAAGCCAAACCTTCCCTACAGCCAAAGAACCTGAGGGGCCTCATCTGTGGTCACTTAGGTCTGTTGTGACCTCCCTAGGATTGTCCTCTGTGTTATAAAAGCTCTAGTAACCTGTTTCCCTTCAGGCCCCAGGGGAAATGGGGACAGGCAAGGAACAAGAAAGAAAGAAAAGGAGGGATAAACAATAGAAGAAATTAAATACCAACAGCAAATGGTTAATTTTTCCATCCCTCCCTTGTCTGGCATGAACTTGGGCTCTGCTAAACATCAAGGATCTATCAGGTGCCCCACCTCCTACCTGGTCTGCACACTTGCTTAGAGCTCTGGAGCTGCTATAGTGGTTAAGTGGAGAAGTCACCCTTGAGGTCAGTCATTAATAGAAGTGCATCTCCTCTATGCACTCCAGCATCTGTCAACGGAGAGGAAAGTCAGGGATATTTATCCATTTTATGTCCTGAGGATGCCAGTTCAGTTGGCTCTGGCTGAGAAGAGCAGGAGCTAGAAAGAGAAGTCTACCTACAGACAGATCATACCTTCCAAAGGCAGACCACGTCCTTGATGTGATTTTGGAGCTGAGTGGGATTTGGCTCATTTCTCCAGAGAGCTCATGAATGTCCAGACCACATATAAAAACAGAAAATGAATGGGGTTCATCATTCAGTCCTGGGGTTCAGGTCACTGATGCTTGAGTCCTAATGGTAGAGCAGCTCTTCTCCTCAAGAACAGGGACAGAGAGCAGTGGTGACCCTTCAGGCACAAGGGCTGCTTTGGTAGCAGACCAGGTTGTTCAGGAGATTATGAGAGTTCCTATAGCCCATGTGAAGCACGTCTGCTTGTGAGCAATTGTTGCCTGCATTGTTTATCTATGGCTGTGGGAGGTGACTCTTAATCTTGGAAAGCTGGAATTTCCTGCTCTCTGTGTATTTAATCCCTTAGATGTTCCTATGAGACTGGAAGTATTCCTAGAAGACAGGGGAATTAAAACCTTTCCTTTCCAACAGCAGCTTTCTGTGAAACAAATAAGCTGCTAGTGTTTGTCATCCTGTTCAGGACCAATTTATCAATAAATCAGAGAGACTTGTTAGTGTGTTTATAAACTTTTCAGAGAAGATCAGCTCTCCTGATGTGTTTGCACAACACCTGGCACAGCTTGGCTTTGATCTCAGCTGTGACACTAGTGTGCAGATCCCATTACTCAGCATTCAACCCGACTATCATTTCCCTCCTAGCTTGGAGAAATAATATCCCAAAATTTATGCAGTTCTGCTTTTGAGGGAGTAGATTACTTAGAGGAATTTCTGAAAAATAAATGGAACAGTCCTTGTTAGTTAAGAGCCAGATTTTGACCTTGATGTATCTTCTCTATACTGTAAGAGTGCATGTATGTACAGTAACTTGTGCACAAGTTGAGGATGAGGAGAAGGGAAGGATTATCAGCGTCATCACCTAGTGGGGATTAACTGATTGATCCAGGGTCATGCAGCAAGTAAAATAAGATAGAATGTCCCAAGGTATAGATCAGTGATCTTAGCACTGTTCCAACCTTTTATGCACTTGTTTCCATTGTGCAGAGTATTAATTAAAAGGTCTGTATCTTAGGAGGGAGAGGCTGGAAGAAGATCCCTCCATACCACTTGAACATCCTTTTCATATGGAACTGCTTTTGAATAAGGATTGTAAAATTATTGCTTAAAAAGCTGCAGGCTTCTTAAAGGGTCTTTATAATTACAGAACAGCCAGCCACCCCTCTTCTTCACCCCTGGCCAGGGCTGCTGTTTGGTCAGAATCCCAATCCTGCTGACTTTATTCACAGGGTTGCAGCACACCCAGTGAGCAGTCACATGGATATCACTTCCCAGGCTGGCATGAAAAGGTGTTGGTTGAAAAAAGGTTTCATCCTCCATCCTGCTCTCACAGTGTTGGCCCTCACAGGAGCTCCAGTGAGGTGTTTCAATGAAAGGTCTGAAAGGAAAGGCAGCTCCTGGTGGGAGAGGTTATGAATTTACCAGCTAGCACTCACACATCTCGCTTAGAACTTGCAGCATCTCTTCTCCAAGAAGAGGTGGTGGCAGAGCTCAACTGAGGCAAGTATCATTGTCAATGCACCTTGGCTCATCTCTGTACAACGTGGGGTTTATGCCAGAGACAGGAAAGGAAAATTCTCCCCCCACACCCTCCACCTGCACATGAGAACTGGTCAATGATGTGTTCTCTGAGTGGATATTTTTTAAAAACTATGACAGAATTGAAGTTTTCATGTAGTCCTGTACTATTCTTCTAATCTTTTAGACTAGGTAAGTGAAAAACACAGGTCTGGAAAGGTTTCTTTCCAAGAAAACCATCAAAACTTCATCATGTTTTAGTTAAAAAGTAAATTAATTCCTAGAGATCTTCTACTGCCAGCATTTGGCAGCGATCACAGAGGCTGTTGCAGCAGGACAGAGCCAGCAGTGGAGGGGAGCTGGGCCAGTATGCCCTGTGTCAGCAGAGCTTGCCTTAGCCCCTTTTGGGCACCCAGTGTTAGAAGGAGGCAAGTGGCAGGGGTCATTTCACACAGGGGGGCACGTTGGCATGATCTGCCCCTGCAGCTGACCCAGCAAACCATTAGCTGAGGTCAAATGCTGGTGTCGTAGCAGAGTTGTTGTAAAATCCTGTTGTCGTCTCATTCTCTTGGCTGGAGGAGAATTTGTAATCTTTCTCAGGAATTCTGTGATTAAGGCACACCATAGAAAAAGCTGTCCTGTTTAATTCCTGTCATTCTAGCTGTAGAAGAAAGCCCTTGCAGAGAAGTCCCTGTCAGAGGCAGTGATGGGAACCTTAAGGAATCTGCCAAGGAAACTCACCCGTGCAGCTGTACCAAACCTCTCACAGCTTAGCTTCAGAATGATTATACTCAAAGAATTAGTTTCACATCTCTAAATGTAGTTGGAAAGCACTGGAGAATAAAGCTTGAAATCAACCCTCCAAGCGTGTAAGAAAATTTAATTAATGGCAGAAAAAAGGGCCATAGAGATGAGGAGAGTAAGATTAATTCTGCCCGTCTACATTTCTCGATTTCCCAACATAAAATGTCTTTTAAATCACAACAGATCTTGTTGAAAAAAAAGAGTTTCATTTAATTGTAATGTTTCCACTGAAGAACAGATATGATGAAAGTGTTCTAGTTAGAGGTAAATGAGCGGTGGTGAGGAATCCAGGAAACAGAAATACAGTTTCTCCCTTTTTTTGTTAGAAGATTTTGAAAAAAACAACTTACTTTAGTATTTTAAAAACAGGAAATATATATTTTTTTTTAATTTCCATTTTCCAAGGAACATTACCTTATCTTTTCCAGTCCTCTCTCATTATTATCCGTGTGTGTGTCTATAACAAAACCTCACTCAAGGCAACAAACATGGTTCTATATACAATGTGCATGTAGGGCTCAATACTTTCTGTGAAGGTAGCTGATAAACTTTTAAGGTCAACAGACTCCCTGTGGCAATAATTCATCACACAGGACTGGATGAGTACGATAAGAAACAATGGATCAAATACTTTTTGCCCCAGAAGTGACAAAGGATAAATTTTACTTAATAAAAAAAAAAAGCTCATGTTTACCTAAAAAAAAACAAAGCCATCAGAAAAACAGACTACTAATCAAAAATGTGTATTTTCAGTCTGTGAAACAGGTACTCCTATACTCTAGTTCCACTGAATTCAGTACTTGCACCCATAGACAACCAGACCAGGAATTTGTATTACTCAAACCTACTTTAACAAAATTAAATATCTACCCCCCCCTTCAAAATGGTGATCTGCAAAGTAACAACAATTTCCCTGGCAATAGGCTGTGAAAGTTGAAGTCTCCTACACTTTGGCATCTCATGAAATTAAGAAACACTTGCACACACAAACCTCCAGATTCACACCTGAGCGATACAACTTGTCCTCCCAGGAACAAAAAGAGCATGGGGCAGAGAACAAGCAAGCTACATGCCTTACAATTCAGGAAAGACCAGTACACATGCACACCTCTCCTCCAGAGAGGTTGGTTTTGTTTGGCATCAGATAAAACCCAAAGGATGAAGAGAAGAAAGAAGGGAAGGCCAAGACTAATCCTTTCCCCATCAAATCAACACAGACTGCTTTTGTGTTGGGTGGAGGCAGAAGTTCACCCAAGGTTTTGGAACAGTGACGTCCACCAGTGAGGCCAGCAGTGAACAATAACTAGACCTGGACACAAATTTTGAAAAAGACAACGATTTTTTCTTAAAAGGAAAAAATACGAAGGCTCTAAAACACTTAATTAAAAAAAAAAAGAAAGAAGGGGGAAAAAAAAGCACTGTTAAAAACAAAGCAGAATGGCTCAAAGCAAAGCGAGTTTGGGAGTGGATAAAGCACAGTGCCATCGACCTTGGGAGTGGATCAAAACCCAAGGTTCACATCTAGACACAGGTCTGTGGTGAAATGAACTGGGTAACCTCGGCTCAGTTTTGGGGGGGTATGGTACGTGTGCGTGATAGTAACAGCAGGATAGACCCTTCTTATGGGAAGTGCTGAAATGAGAGAGAGGGAGGGGGAAAAAGAGGCTCCTGCCACAGAAATCCTTGGAGATGAGAGATGGCCAGGCAGTCCAGTGTGAAGGCAGAGATTTGCAAGCAGAGGGCAGTGTTTCATGCTGATAGTGCTAAGCAAGGGGCTCGCTCTTGAAGTGAACGCCTGGAAGAATATTATAAATGTCACTGTTGGCATTGAGCATCCTTGGGGAAGGTCAGCTGCAGTTTTGAGTCCCTGGAGAGTTCCACTGCTATGGGTTCCCTTAAACAAGACCTTCATTCGGCAGCATTTTGAAGGCACTGCAACGCCAGATGTTGCCCCAAGCATTGTTCCTAGAGAAGTTGGTCCATAGCTAGAAGTCAGAGCTCCTTTTACACAGGGTGGAGGAGTCATCTCAGTGGAGGTAGGTAGGTTGATTCCATCGGTACCAGGATCTGTTTGCAACAGAAGGAACAGAGAGCTACAATTGCCACGTTGCTAAGAGTTTCCTTTGAAATAAAAATAATTACTCCATTTATAAGCTTAATTTGACTTGGCAGCCAGTACGTGACCCTTTGCTTCTCTAGGAAGCTCTTAGCACAATCCCTGTCTTTCTAAGCAACGTCTTCCTTGGTGCTTGTGATCTGATTCAGAGCACAGGCTGACCCGTGACTCAGAAAGCCCAGCAGCTATGGGTAACACCCTCTGCTCCCTGTTGCCTTCCTCCCAACAGCATCCTTGATGCCATGTGGCAAAAACTACAAGTGCAGAGAGGCCTGAGCAGCACAGGCTGTGGCAGAGGCGTGGTCAGGGAGACAACCAGAAGGGCTGTGAGCCCAGATGTGTGGCTTCATGCTTTCGTAGCATCGAAAGGCAAGGCAGAGGAAAGTCTTTGTTCTTATTTCCCCTGCCACTGTGGAACAGTGCAGCAGAGCTCTCTGGGTGGCACTGCAGGAGAGAAAACTGGCTGTGGAGGGTGTTATCCAAGCAGAAACAGCAAATTAAGGCTTCCCCTGCTTCCTCCACACAAGGAGTTGGTTTAGGATAGTCCTTCTGGTCAGTGTTTCTATTCAGATTTTCGCTTGGTTTTGTCTGGGGTGTTTTGTTGGTGGGTTGAGTGTGTCAAAACTTGAACTACAAAGCTCCACATTGCCAGAGTCTCAAGGACCTGCACATCCTCCTCTCAGGTCCCATGGCTTTCTCCTGAGCCCCCCAACACCCCTGCCAAGGAGCAAGCTGTGGACCCCTGGCTGCCTTACCCTGAAGAGTTGAAACCGGATGAGTTCATTGCAGCTTTGGAGTTGCTCTGGGCTGTGCCAGGGCTGCTGGCATGGAGGGCACTGCCAGGGGACGAGGGCCTGCTGGAGTTCCCTGGGGAACACGATGATGTTACTGCGTGGCAGAGAAAGCAGAATAAGACCAGGATCTCCTTTGCCTGCCAAGGACAGCCCGAGCCCCAACAGTTCCACCATGACTTGCACCCATCCTCTCCTTCATCTGACTTGCTGCCAGCTCTACAGCAGGCAGCAAGTGCCCCAGCCACAGAGAAGGGGGAGAGAGGTATCTGCAGGGCTGCTCTCTCTACAGGGCTTGATTTCTGTTTGAATTGCACTTTTTGAAAGAGATCTGGCAGTTTTCTGCTGGAGAAACACAGTAACTTATCCCAAAGCACTCTTGTTTGGCTTTTACGTGTGCCTGGCTCCCAAATCTGAGCACCTCAGTAAAATTTGCCTGGGGTCCTGTTTATGTTCACTGTGCCCAGGAAGCTTTCCATGTCTTTGTTCCAGCCAAGACAAAGACTGGGCTGTTCTTATCAACACTTAGGTGGGGATGCTTTCCCTGGCCAAACCCAAGGGTTTATTTAAGAGTGGCCTGCAAACATGACCTAGACACAAAGTAGACAAGGAGCAAGAGCAGAGGAAGGAGGAGCAGAATGATGAGTGAGGCAGGTTCCTCAAGGCTTACCAGTCCCAGGCATGGTGCTGTGCACCGGATTGACGGAGAGGGGCCCCAAGGACCCTGAGGTAGAGACCTAGAGAGAAACAGAAGCAAACAGTGAGCAGTTGGCACTGGGAAGGTATGGGTCACAAAATGCCTCTTCTTTCACAATTCCTTTAGATTGTGCTGGCTCCAGGCAGACTTATCTATATTTGAGGCTCCTGCAGATGTTTCTGTTCAAGCTCTAGTGCAGAAGCACCATCCCAGAGCCATGGAAAGAAATCAGACTATTACATGTGCCTGACACTCTCTACCAACATCTAAATGTATAGATCATCTGTGGACAAGTCTGAAATCATCAAACACAAGCCAAACTTGTGGAAGTCCCAAGATTCAGTTGGTAGGAGGCGCTTCCCTTTGGATGTTTAAGAATACACATTCTTACTCTGAAACTTCCCAGCTCACTGTGGTCTTGGGCACAAATAATCCCTCTTCCAATAAGGAGTTCTTGATGGCTGAGAATTCTCAGGTGACAATTAGTAATTTGCTGGCTGCAATCAAAGTGAGCCTGGGGCATTTGTTGTTCAACTGTGATACTTGAGACTAAAGGCAACACAGTCCAGAATGACTGATGAGCAGAGGGATACTTTGTACAACACATTCACAGGAAAACTATTCACCAAAGCTACTGCTTTAAAAATTCATGGCTTGCAAGCAGCATTTTGTGTGACTGCAGACCAAATGTGTTGTGCAACCAGAGACCAAACTTCTTGTGATGTTTTCCTGCCTTCTAATGGATAATTCCAAATCCCAGAAGATTTCAAGATAAAATATTGCTTGTGAATATGTACTTCCCCTCCCACTCACATGTGCTCCAGCTCTAACACCACCAGAGGGAGGTTCCTGCCACTTCTACATGTGGAAGCAACTAAGCAACTATTAACTAGCAGAAATGCAGCAGTAGCTTGTCATCCACAGTAGCTGCTGTCAGTGGATTACAAGAACATGCTTTGAACCAACTCTCACAGCAGTTTCTCTTTTCCTCACCCTTCCTGGCAATGAAAATACACTTGCCAAGATGTGAATGTCTCACATGAGAGGCAGACAGCTAGCACTACTGAAGGGTGTTCTGCATTTCTGCACAGATGTAAACCAACAAACTGTTATGTAGATGGTTATCACTAGGTTTCAGAGTTAACAACTACATTGACACGCAGGGATCTGGTTCTCATTCCATGGAATGCTGATTCCTCTGCTATAAACTTTGGAAAGCTTTTATTTATCAGTCTCAAGGTGAAAAGTTTTAGGATAGCACTCCTACTCAGATAAATTACCCTACAATTAAACAGATTTGTACCTTCTAGGAAACTTATTTTCTTTCCATTGTTTTCATTAGTAGAATAAAAATTAATGTCCTCTAAGTGAGGACATTCCATTCAAGTTGAGATGTTGACTCTATGCCCAACCCATGGGCAGCCCAGCTGCATCCCTGCACAGCCCTGCAGGTGTAATCCCCATGGGACTGTGGAGTGGGCTGGCCAGCAACGCAGGGGCTTGCACGTACAAGGACATGTCCTGTCCTGTTCCTTTTCCAGCCAACCCTGCTGCATCCCACCCTTTCCCTTCTTGTCTGGGATGGCACGTAGAACTCCTTCACCCAAAGCCTCTCACCAGTCTGGAATTGTAGATAGGTGATTTGATGGGGGATGGCATCGGGCAGCTGATCCTCTTTTCTTTCTGGCGCCGGTTGCAGAACCAGACCCGAACCACCTCCTTCTCCATGGAGAGCTGCTCTGCTATCAAGGATATCTCCTCTGAACTGGGCTTGGGGTTCTGCTGAGGAAGGGCAAGAGGTTAAAGAACGCCCCGAAGAGCTGGAATTCACAGCAGCAGTGTATGCTTCTGCTGCTGGAAAGGCAGAGGACAAAAGTGGGGCTGGCTGTAAACGGGAGAGGGGAGAAAACATGTTTCTAAGAAAAAGGGAAAATACTTGGGTGAGAGATCGTGTTCAGCAAGCCAGAAGGCACCTCTGACTCAACATCAAGTCTCATGGTATCCGTAGTGAATGAGTCACAGTACCTGGCCCTGTTATTGCATAAAGCACCACGCTCTTTGATCTTAATAGTGCCCTAAATCATTGCTCGAGGGGAAGCTGGTGACTGGTGGTGGTCTTATCACTCCACAGAACACACAAGCCCTGAGTGCTGCTTATACGCCTACCTGCTGCATCACCTCAGAAAAGCCATTGCTCCTCTTTCCTCCTCCAGCCCTCATTTATAAAGGGAAATGATCGTACCTGTCCTTTCTTCTGAGTAATTTATTTTCTGGCACATTTGACAGCATTTAGCTGTATGGATTTTGATCTGAGTTGGAGACCCGAGGGTCAAAAATACCAAGCACAGAGATGCCAAGAGTTTTCCTAATACAAAGAATGCCTCACGCTAGCTAAAAATGAGGTGCCCATAATGATCTGACAATGCAAGTCTTTTGTTGTCTTTATCAGTCTTAGAAGGAAATTTTGATATCATCAGATATGAGGGAGAAACCAAGAAAAAATGAGGGCTCATCAAAAGCAGTTTTGATGAAAATTTTTCAATGCAGTTTAGTCCGACTGATTGAAAACCCCTTCTTTTGCTCCCTGTAGTGATTTTTCTTGAAAATCTTATTGCAAAAGAGGTAAAAGGCTCCATTTCTGAAATTATTCAGCAACCAGATCTGGACCAACTAATCCTGTGGTCTCACCAGACCTGCTGAATGGGACACAAGTTTCTGGATGGGACACTTGTCCTGTTAACCCCTCCAAACATTGTCTAATCTGCTGTCCAAAGAGAACTGCTTTTTTTCTTTAGGATTTAGCACTACTATGACCTAGCGAATGCCAAACTCAGAGAGTTCACAACAGATGGAAAGATTTTCCCCTCACATCTTGAAATCTTTTCTCTAGTGTGGAGCGGATGTTGGTCTCAATACTGGTTCGCTTCTTTCTTTTCCGTCCAAACATCTCATTCACTGAGGGGTAGGAGTTGGGAGTGCTCATGGAAGAATCCAAAGGAGCAGATTCTGGGGAAAGAGATATTCAAGAAAATAATTAGCTGTTTTCATTCCTAGATCCTTTCTGGGAACTATAGTGCCTCCTAAAATAAGTAAAATGCTACTAAGTTGTGGGTATCCTTTAACTATGATTAAAATTGCTCCCACAGTCCCAAATACATCAATAATCTTGTCCAAAGAAGGAAATGTGAGTGCTAAAATTCTAAGCAACACACTATTTTTCTTATTTCCAGCTTGATTTCCATCCAGCTCTGATGGGGACCATAGATTTTTCCAGTGATTTAATTTCACACAGTTAAAGATGTTGACTTACACCACTGGGATCAGGCCTTGTGTAGCTGAGACACCTCCTGGCATAATATGTTGGTCAAACATGGAACTCATGCAGCCAGAGGGAAAGGACAGATGTGGTTTGATATCTAGGCTGCTCTGCAACCTGGTGTATAATCCAGAGGAGAGCACTTTGTTACCAGTGCAGCCACAGATCTGAGAGGTCTTAACTCCAGCTCTGATTTTCCTGGCTTTTAGTGGAGGTTCCTGGATGAATCCTTTCACCCTGGCCAAGACTGGTGGTATTTCTGCATGCAACGTCACCTACCTGCATCACTCAACCACTTCTCCAGCAGGGGTTTGAGCTTGCACATGTTCTTAAAGCTCAGGTTGAGAGCCTCGAAGCGGGAGATGGTGGTCTGGCTGAAATCATTGCCATAGAGCTTCCCCATGGCAAGTCCAACGTCACCCTGCCAGAGAAGAAGAGCCAAATCACAACATGAGCTCAGAAAAATCCCTCACCATTTCTTGCTGTCAGACCACCCTTCTCTCTCAGCTTGCTCCCAGAATAGGTGCAGCCTTGTTTCCATCATCTGCCTTCCAGAGAAAGTGACTTCTTTTCCCACAGGAGTCTGTCCCACACCCTCAAGCCTTTGTATACTGAAGGTGCAGATAATGAGGTCATGGAAATGAAATATTAGGAAGGGTTTATCTCTTCATGGGTTAGGAAGGGGATGCTCCAAAGAAAGCCAACCCCCCCAAGCCCAGCACGTCCACATCACAATGACCACCACACTCCCCACTGAGGGGGCTCCTCACCTGTGTGAACCCCAATTTGATTCGCCTTTGTTTGAAAGTCTTTGCAAACTTTTCCAGCTCCTCCAGGTCACTCGGTTCCTCAGAAGCTCCTGAGGGAGTTAAGTGCTTTGCCACTTGCAAATGCTGAGGCACATCCAGGTGGGGTTCAACTGATGAGCCAGGGAGTCCAGAACGACCCACAGCCTGTTCAGACAACAGCAGAACATGCAGAGCCTCACAACAACAGGTAATTAGACCACTTGCCCTTAACGAAGCAGCACTTTTTTGATAGGTGTGCTTCTCAGGGTGGGACTTTATGCTGGACAGTATATTGAGGGAATTTACCTGTGATGCCAGGCTGGGTCCTGGCTGGGAGAGGAGAAGGCTGCCCTGTTGCTGTGGGAAGGAGAGGAGGTTTGGCTGCAAAGCTGAGGAGAGAAAGAGACACATCTGATTGACCCAGGTCCTTCATCAGCACCTGGGCAGCACAACATCACCCTGCACAGGAAAGGCCCATGAAGCTCTGAATGGAAAATGTTCCCTAGCTCTTCTTCAAAACATGAGAACTCCAGCTGTTACAAATATAGATGGTTCTGAGTTGGATTATGACAAAGGAAAAGGTCTTTTCGTGGCTTTTTAGCCTGAAAGGGATTATTGTAACAATGGTAGAGGTAAAATACTTCATCCACTGATCTCTCATTAACCTAAGGCTGAATTAGGGCACAGACGTTTTACATAGACATCTAACTTTGATTTTAGATGCCAAGCAGCAGAGAATTTACCACATTTTTCATGGTGATCTTTCTCAGTGCTTAATCACTGTAGCTGTTAAGAAAAACCCAATAGAAGCTTTTCTGACTCCAACTTCCAGCCACTTGATCTTGTTAAAAAACTCCTGATCCTACAGTTAATCTCATGAGCCTGCCCACTCTGCTTTCTACAATACAGTTAATTTTTCAGTGTCATTTGGAAGCCATCTGACCCTTTCTTTTCTACCCTACTGTATTTCAAATAAATTGAATTTCTTTTGGAATATAGAAACCGACACAAAACGATGCAAGGCAAAAAGAAGGGAAATCTATAAAACTAACAAAAACTAGGATTTATGGAGACCACATAATTGTTTAGCTGACAACTTGCCAAGTACAAGCCTATATCTCTTGCAGGGAATGTCCTAAAGGATTAAGTAGCAACTGAAGCAGTGTAGTTCCCTAGAAATTTAGTTAGGTTTTTCAAGCTGGTTGTGGGGTGAAGCCTATAGAATTTAGTGAGGATTTATAATCTTTCTTGAAACAGCCAATATATTCTATTGATTGTAGCTGACAGTCATAGGGATAACTAGAAATCTATGGAGTTCTGCTAAAAAAAAAAATAAAATAATCTCCATAATCAATCACTCCCCCCCTCTCTCTTTCTATCTTCCTTTTTTTTTAATTTAGAACTGAATGTGCAGGATCCCATTTATTTATTTAGATCTGTGTTTCAATAAAACCTTCTGAAATGCTGGAACAACTTTGAATTTCAAATGCGGGCTGGTAATGAGGTGCACATTTTTAAGAGTGAAGGTAATTAATCACCAGAATGGCTTGCCTAGGGACATGGTGGATGCTCTGTCGTTGGGAGCCTTTAAAATCATGATTGAACACCTTTGTGAAAGCTAAGCTCTAGCTCAAATAAAAATGATGGGCTGGATTCAGGAATCACCAGTTTGACAGCTGACGAGGCTGTGTTTTTATAAGATGAAGACTTCAGCAGTAATATTTTGGCTGAGATTATTCCCAGCATCTACCTGGCTTCTTGTTTCCACCTTCACAGCACGGAGCTGTTTGAAGGGCAGCACAGGGAATCACATCAAGGCATACTAAAGCAGACCTGGGAACTTATCTGGCTTAAAACCAGCTTTAAAACAAGAAAACTAAACCAAATTACAGGTCCCCTTGGAAAGGGTAAGCTCACAGCCTTTCCCTTTGGCCATGAAATCCATGAACTCATGTACCCCCCAAGTCAGAACTCAGGAGACCTTGAGTGTGTTCCCATGACAGCCCAAGGAAAAATTTCAGGAATATTTTGTATATTCCTCTTTGGTACATGAAGAATGCTCCACCTATATCTGTGCAACCAACTCGTTCCACAAAACCAATCTCTTCCTTCACTTTCACTCCCCAGTGGCTGTGCACACACAGAGGATCATTAAAACCTGGCAATCATCTACTCAGATGGAAGTGCTCTTGCACAACAAGCCAGCTACTGGCCAGAATGGTTCAAGCCTGGAACCAAAACTGGCCACAACTGAACAAGCAGCCATCTGTTGGAGGGGCTGTAGCTGCCAAAGGAAGTCACTTAACAGAAGAAACTCTAACTTTACAAAAGGAAGCAAGTTCTCTTTTGCAGTATCATGTGTTTCCTATTATGCTTGAATAAAAGCAGGCAGTGAGCAATAGATCAGCCAGATCCTGTCATTTCAAACAGACTAAATTCTAGGTTATTGGTAAAAAACACATCAAGCAGTTTCTTTATACATCACTCAGCATCATTGGGCAGAGGGAGGAGTTTATAGACCATCAATGAGGTTTCCCATGTTCCTATAATACAAGTTTTCTTTGGGAGCATATGTATCAGTGGATTCAAGCTGCAGAGATTTTCAGGTTTTAATTCTGAATTTTGGTTCATAGAGAGGGATCACTGTGTTGGAACAAATCCAGAATGTGAGCAAAGGGATCCAAGTCCCTTGGCATCTGTCAGGTTATGGATCACAGTCTGCATTTGGCTGTCCACAAGCAGCATAAAACTTTATCAGTGGTATGCCTGTGTCCCTATTGTCAGAGAAATGCCATAAAAAAATATTGGTGCTAAAAATAGAGACACAGGGACTTTCTCAAGCACTGAATTCAGTCCTCAGTCCTTTCATCCCTTTCATGGAGCCAAGTACACTGTGTTTCAGAAGTAGTTAGACCTCTTGTCCTCTCCTGCCCCGTGGCTGGGAGCGAGATTTGGGAACAACCACTGGCAACTCCAAACCTCTCAGTTCTCATCCCTGTGTTGCTCCTGGCTAGGTTAGACCTGTTTGTTCTAGTGCCAGCATTGTCCTTCCACCAGAGCAGCTCAGCTCCTTCCCTGGGTTTGCTCTCCCTCTAAGGTACTTTGAGAGATCAACTCAACCTCTCATCCATTTTCTGGAAGAAATGAAGAGTGCTAACCCTGGGAGCCCAGGCAGGCTGCAACTGCTCCCCAAGGAACAGGCTTGCTGAAAGCCAGCCAGAGCTGTCCTGAGCTGCAGAACTGGCATCCCTACCAAGCCTGCCCAGCCTGGCCCCAAGGTGGCACTCGTGGTGCACAGAAGCCTCAGGTGCCAGCAGCATCTCTGGGCACTGGACCCTTCCCAGAGCAGCTCCGTACCCTGAGATCATCTCAGGGGTGGGAAACAGCACAGGGGGAAAATACGTCTGGTAACAGAGCAGAACAGACCAGATTAAAAGTGACCTCCCTGTCATGAGACAGGAGGTTTTTCCTAGATCTGTATCTGTTTACAACAATGCCCCTTGCAGCTGTTATTTGCTCTTACCTTGTTGTCCAGCCTGAGACTGAGACAGAAGAAACTGAGGAACTGACTGCATATGACCAGGAAGCAATACAAGCTGCTGCAGGGTGTGAAGAGAGCTCATGTCCTGTGGGGAAAGAGCAAAGGGAACAGCAAAACTCAGAGATGTCTGCTCTTCACACAGCAACACCTCTCCTCTAAAGCTTCCCTGCTTCTTCTACTGTCCTCGACCCCATTCACACTTTTCATTTAACTGCCAACACACCAGATTTGTGCAATTTAGTGCTGGAGAGCCACAGATCCAGAAGCACTCCAGGATCTGAAGTTTTCAGCCGTATAAGAAGATTTCTATGAGTACATAGACATCCAGATGGAGAATTAACCTTTTCAGCTATAAGTAGACAATTCTCGACAATTACATTTTTAGAGCACTGGCAATCAAAACCTGGTTGTTAGAAGTAACACTGAAACCTCTTGGATTTCAGTTTCTTCCAGATAATGTAGTTTCAGAGAGCAAACTCCCTAAAATTACACAGCCAAGTGCAGCTGACAGTCCCATCTCATGAGCACTGAGAGCCTGCTCTCCACAGAAGGCTGATTTCCCAGCCAGCTGTGTGCTGAGATGGGACAGAAGTGATGCCAAACAATGCCCAGTTCTCTGTATCAACAGCAAACACATTGCAAGGGACACAGTGACCAGATCCAAAAATGTTTCCTGTCCTTTGCCATGTAGCTGCCAGGAATTCTCCACCCTGCATTGAGCAGGGCAAGCAATAGGTATAGAGACATGAGGATTACATCCTAGCACTCTTTCTCATTATTACTGGGGCCTCAGCCCCAGGTCCTTTGGTAGGATTAGGGGATAACAGTGTGCATTTGTTTGGGAT